CCGATTACTAAAGTTGCCATTAGTTTCATGCGACGTTTATATACGTACTATATATAATAGAAAAATTTTTTTATTAATACTGGATTTTATATTTGACTGCGATAAAAATCTATGACGAGCCTTCATCCAGACCCGCGATTTTTTTGAAAGCTTCAGCTTCACCTTCACGGCGTGCGCTTTCAGCAGCGGCGGCAACAGCTTCTTCTTTTCACGCTGTAAGTACTTATTTGTCTTTTTCATCTCTTTGAGTAGAGAAGCTACAACGGCAGCCTGTTTCTTACGCATCGGATCGTCGAATTCATCTTGAATAACGCGCTTACGCTCGTTAAAATGCCGCATTTGATCTAGAACCTGTTCAAACTCTTCATGTGAGACTCGGCTGTCACTGAGAGCACGTGACACAATATCACCAACAGTCATCAGAATCAAATTAAATGAAGATATGATCTTCGCACTTTGCTGGACAATTTAAGCAATCGTCTCAGGACCTGAAAAAATCAGGTGACTTAACGGGATTCGAACACATGACCTCTGCGGTGCCGGTGCGGTGCTCTGACCAACTGAGCTATGAAAGCACACAGTGGTGAGAAGGTCAATATTGTTGGGCTCATGTTTTCTCGTGAAAGGAATGTCGTATGAATGTTTTATGCAGTGCGGTGTTTGAAATTAAATGAAGATATGATCTTCGCACTTTGCTGGACAATTTAAGCAATTGAACATTCATACTACATTCCTTTCACGAGAAAACATGAGCCCAACAATATTGACGTGCTCACCACTGTGTGACTTCATTGCTCAGTTGGTCAGAGCACTGCACCGGCACCGCAGAGGTAATGGGCTCGAATCCCGTTGAGTCACCTGATTCAAATGAACGATCATCCTTTATTTATTTAAACACCGCACTGCATAAAACATTTTGTCATCAGAATGGTCTCAGCAGCTTGGGCTACGCGGTCGTGCTTTTTAGCCTTTTTCTTGAGTTTTTACAAACAACACGCCCATCACCTGAGATCAACCCGCCAGCTACATCAAGAGCTTCAAGAACGGCCCCAGCCGGTGCGCCCATACCAGATAGAGTGTGAGCAATACCTCCAGTTCCTGTTACGACTGTAAAAGCACTCGATGCAGCAGATAAGGTGTCGAGTGTTGAAATAATGCGCGTGTATTTCTTACGCAGCTTATGACGAGCGTCACCCTCTTGGTGGAGCTTTGCCTCAATGTTTGAAATGCGAACAAGGCGAAAGTTGCTCGTTTCGACTGATGAACGGGGTGAAAGAACGTCTTCTACCCCTTGGTATTCATATTCACGTTTTAAATCCGGATATATCCGTAGTACTGGCCCAGGAACGTCTACTGGCTCGACTGGAGGTGCGCTTGCAGTTGCCATTTTTTGTGGAAGTACTATATATGAATGCAGAAAAATTGGTCTGTTTGTCTGATGTGATATGATTAGTTTGATGACTAGTGTGATATGATATGATATGATATGGCACTCATAAATTTCGACCCACCGACCGCTAAAAAATCAAAGCGCCACCATTGGATGATACCCGAAAGCCATTATCTAATCGTAGGCCCTACTAATTCCGGTAAAACGAACCTTTTAATAAACATGATTATGCGTTGGCTTGGTTGCCCTAAATTAACTATTTACACAACAATCGTGACCTGGAAAAATATCAGATTCTATCAGAGTTCTACGAAAGCATCGGCCTGGAAGAATGTGTTGAATTAAGAGAGCCTGATGATATAATTCCAGTAGAGGAGTTGGACACTAATCCCGACACAGTAGTCCCTGACGATATTCGGCTGGATTCAAAAAGCTTAAACCCAATCAAAGTGAATTTCTCAGCAAGTCGACATAAGAATGTCACAGCCATATACTTAGCGCAAAGCTACTATGACGTCCCCAAGTATATTCGGCGAAATACCGGCTGCATTTTGCTTATGAGAGGTCTTGACCAGCGCGACGTGAGAGAAATCGCAGCTGACCACGCTAATGGTATTACAAAAGAGCAGCTAGCGGCTGCTTATCATGAAGCCACTGAAAAGAAGTGCGACTACTTTGTAATCGATCGTACTGCAGAGGAGGTTCCTATTCGCTATCGGAAGCGTTTTGACGGAATTCTGGTAGCCCCGAAGCGGTAATTCATTCTTTGAAGGCATCATTAAACTTATTCTTGTTGGCTCTTTAATATTTTGGAAGATAAGGAATAACTGCCTGCATTATAGCCTCGACGGTTTCAGCAGACCAACCCGAGGCGTCGTAATTTTGACAAATCGGAACGAAATTTGCTATGAAAGAGGGGCAATTTAAAGGCACTCCATTAGACCAAGACATATCAGCCGCCATACAGATTACATGGTTCAATCGAATTACGCTGAATGGAATTTTGTGTTTAGAGCAGATTTTATACATACACGTTTTTACCTTATTAAAGTGAGAGTCACGTGATACATAAAATTGTCTATAGATCCTCGCGAGAATTCACGTGACTCTTTATCGGACTCCTCTGTATTAATAACAGGCGCTGGCAGGGTAAAACGCGGTTTATTTCTTGAGATTGTGAATCAATAGATGCTAGCACCGACTGTGTTTTAGGTAGATTATAATTTTTCATTACACTATATGGGTCGTCCATTTATTTTGTCCTATTATATAATAAGATAAAAACATTTATCTTTCTTGAGATTGAAGTTCAAGTATGTTCAGGTCAGTTGCATCTATGGAAGAGCGCGAAAAATTAGTCTAAGAGTTTGTAAAAAACCGCGCGGAACTTAAGCGGCGCCAAGTCGATTTCAAAGTGTCTCGACAGCATGAAGGAGAATTCTTTGAAAGGGCGTCTAAAGCAATTGTTAATGCTGAAAAATCTGTAGCAGAAGCTATTAACAAAAAACAAGACGAAAAAATTGAAGGCTTGCAAGAAGTAACTCAAGCCGTTGAGAACATTCAACAGCAGCTTGCCCAACGGCTAGATGATCAAGTCCTGTTAACAAAAGACAAACCATCTTGAAAGGTTATAGAGAATTCAAATTTGCTTGATCGGTTGGAGGCTGGTGAGCATATAAACGACGTAGATTTTGAAAATCTTGGAAAATCTATCGGCCCGTCTACAAGAAGAACCGCTTCTCCAGCTAACCGAGAGCTAGGTGAAAAAACTCGAACGTTACAATGTTCTAAAAGAAAAAGAAGTCGCCCCAAACAACTCTTTAAAAAAACACGAACAGGAACTGGAGTGCACTATTATAGTAGCCCATCAAAGCTTATCGACCGCCTCCACCTTTCCTGCAAGTCTTTAGAGGCTGGCAATGACTCTCGTGAGTTGAAGAACGATATTGAAGCGAGTTTCGAAGCTAGACGAAAGTGCGATATCGAAAAGTTATTACCGAAAAATTAGAAATACATACGTGCGTTAAAATTTCTCCTTATATATTATACAGAGCTATTGCTTAGTCTGAGTTACGTTAAGTGCTATCAATATAACCATAATGGCTGGAGTATTAGAAGACGAAATCAGCATTGAGATAAACTCAAAAAGAGCCACTGCGGCGAACGGTGGAGAAGCGAATGACTTTCAAATTGGCTTTAGGCCACCTATACCTTTAGACGCTAGCAAAAAATATCAAGTGGCTCTTACTGAAGTTAGTTTGTGGAATTCGTGGGAAAATGTCACTGCTAAAAACAATCAACTTGAGTTTGAGATTAGAAATGGAAACTATGGTGATACTGATGGTGCACAGAGAGGAGAGCCTAAAAAGACTCTAATTAAACGGCTAAAAATCTCTATACCCCCACGCGCTTACAACATTCCCGACATCAATCAAGCTTTTGAAGATGCTATGGAATCATTGGGGGTAAAGCTCGCACATGAAGATGAGATCATAAGACGTGATCCACCCTTTGTTCTCTCAGTAAATGTTCCCACATCTAAATCTGAGATTACTATTAAAGGTGACCTGTAGTTCCCTTTGACATAGATAACAGCATAGGCCCTATTCTTGGGTTTGCTGTGGGCGGAGGTGATCTTACTAGAGGAAAGACTTTAAGTCAGAATCGAATTAACATTACAGATGTACAGAAGATCAATATTCACTGCTCGCTTTTTAATTCAAGTATTGTAAACAGGAATCCTAGTGATATTATTAAATCGTTTTCTCCAAACCGAGGACCAGGACGTTTGTTGGAAATAAGCAGTGGCGTAGCTAGCGAAAAACATTTGGTTGGGCTCACGAGGCGCCACCATGGTTGGCACCGAGCAAGAAAATTTTCCGAATTTAGACTCCCTAGAACGTCGGAAACGCCTATCTTAGAAAGCAAATGCGTGATATTTATGCAGGAAATAGAACAATTTTGGTTAATTTAAATTGCCGAAGGATCTTATAGTAAAGCAGAGAAACAGTTCAAAAATAGTTGCAGATATGTGATTGATTTTCTCAACACCACTTACATAAATAGATACCTATGTACATCTTGTAAAGAAACTTTCACAAAAGAACCGAAAAATGCTCAGATTTGTCATCAACAACTATCAAAAGTTGTGATGCCGTTCATTGTCGGGCTGAAATGACAATCATCATTGACTGCATTAAAAAGTTCCCGGAAAAATTCTCACGTGCCATGGACGTAAGACATCATCAGCTTGCTATCAGCCATATATGAATACCTATTTGTATAAGAAAGCAAGTCTTCGTGGTTTTTCAATGAACTTCTTTACTACCTCGTCTTGCAATGTGTTGGCGTCTTCTTTCTCTGACAGTATGTCTTTGTGAATGGAAATCCTGCAAAGAGAACTAAAACGTCCTTGGCTCATAGTATTTCTCAGATAATTTTTTACCCTCTTCAAACAAGAAAATGACCTCTCAACTGAAGCACTTGTAATTGACAAAACCCCATTTATCTTTAACAGTTTTACAACTTCTGGAATACTAGATTGACAATGGAACTGAAAAATATATTTCAATAATTCATCGCATGAATCACAGTGAAAGTCTTTATCTCTCTAAATAAAACAAAGTTGGCTAACTAACATTGGTATGTCAAACATATCACCATAAACCTCCTTTAGAAGATTTATCTTTTCTGAGGGCACTTCACCTTTCCACATCTTAAACACCCTAGGGTTAACAAGGTCAAAAATCTAAAACGCTCCATATCCTGAAATCGCTCGGTCAGCATAGTCACAATTGTGTCAAGAATTTCAAAATACATTTGTTTGTAATTATGCCGTTGGTCATACCTGGTTACTGGTGGTCCCACTTTCTCAACAGCCAGGTCGTACACCTGACAATATTCTGTATCATTTCTCAGAGAAGCAACAAAGGCCTTGAATCTCTCAAACCTACTAAATCCATAATGAAAGTCAGTGTCCTTGTCTTGCAAGATAGAATAAAGTATGGATGACTGCTCAAGAATTCTCTGGAAAACATGTACCAAGAAACAAAACAAGAAGCCATTAAGGTAGCCAAGTAAACCAGTAACCTTACTTAACGTTTCATCATCCCAACCTACTTGATTATCAGTAAGATTTTGAAATATGTCTATCAGTTTCTCATAGTTAGAATGCAAGACATTGATGACATGAGCATTATAATACCATCTTGTGTCAACAGGACTAGGAAACTCAAGCCTATGGGATGATAGTAAAGCTTTTCTTTTGGGGGAATTGCTAGTAAAGGTGCAAAAAGCACTAATATTAACAAAGAAAATCTTAACAGGTGAAATGGAGGATGCAGCTTAACATAATACTAGATTTAGTCCAAGGGCAGCACAGTGAACAAATTGAGCATAAGGATAATCCTGCTGAACATGAGCTTGAACACCATTGAGATGACCAGACATAACAGATGCACCATCATAAGTCTGTCCAATAAATTTCTCTTTCACATTATTATATTGACTTAACTTACCCTTAACCACTGATGATATAGCATTCGCAGTCCTGACACAACTAACATCAACAAACCCAAGCTCTCTTTCAATGACACTTTCCCCTTTGTCCATTTGAACAATGGGATGGGGCGGGTGGCTGAATGGTTAATTGCGTGAGCTGTAAGCCAGACGGCGCGGGTTCAATCCCGGCTCGTGGCACATCTGGCAATGTGTCTGTAAACCTAGCCCGGGTTGACCAAAGCCATGTGAGGGAAATTTGGTAAAGGAAATCCTCGGATGGACTGTATCTGCATCTGCAATGTTGCAGCCTTGTCACACTGTGTGTCACGCTGATATCAGCGTTGTAGTTACGTGAAAGGTAGGAGTGATTGTAGTCTGGTCAGCTGCCTCCACTATAATTTAAGTAGCCAGGATGTTCCACTTTGTGGAACCCTCATACGTCGAAATCGACCGAGTCCATTATGTAATCGCCTTTCAAAAACAGAATCCATCTTGGCAAAACTTTCAAGTAGCTCTCTATAATTTCCTCTATTCATGCTGCCACTAGATTCATCATGCCCCCTAAATGCAAGCTCTTGCCTAGACAAGTATAAAACAGCTTTTGTTATGGTTTTCAACATTTCCCTGTTTTGCCTTACCTCCTCGTTATGACGCTGAATCTCTTCACGTCTAGCTTGTGACATGAGACAGTCGATACGAGGCTGAAAAGCGTAGGTCTTCCAGGTCTTGTAGGCACCCATGTGCGATTATTCCTTCTCATGCTTCTTACAATCGGATAGGAAATTCTTCATGTTTTTGAATCCCGTCTGCGTCCATGAAGATGACGATCCAGGGCAAAATAAAAGACAAGGCCAACAGAACAATGCATTCTTTTCTGAGCTACAACAAAGCCAATCTTTCTTCGAGTACCAACTTTCCTGAAAGCTTCTATTGCCTGTAGTCGCTTGTAAATTTGAAATTGGCCGCTGCTTTACGAGTATATTTTGCTCGCCTGATTGTCGAACAGAAAGGGTTTCTTTTGTAGTTCACTTATTATATCGATTTCATTAGCCGAAGCCATTGTAATGTAAGTTATCACGATTTCCGAACGTATATTTCGAAAGCTCAAACTTCAAGTCATGCTTTTGAAAATAAGCCCGACAAGATGTTAAACGTTTGAGTGTGTTCACAGCTACTCTCATCCAATCAGATTACAGATATTATCCTCTATAGATTTTATTACTTGGTCGGGCTGAATTTTCAGAGCCCGACTAGATGTTGCGAAACAGCGCATTTGAGTTTGCTCAGTTGCTGTCAACCAATCAGATTGCAGATAATCCCACAATAGATTTTACTACTTGGTCGGGCTGAATTTTTAGAGCCCGACTAAACTGCGTAATGCCTGGCACTAGAAATGCACTAGTCATTGTTGCTAAGTAACGTTTAAAAATATGATAATTTTGCTAATAACGACGCAATTTGACAAATATTACACTAATAGACTGTGGATTATTCCAAAAAGAGTCGCAGAATTTAAAATTTTCGCAACTCCAATTTTAAAGAAAACAAATTTTTCATTTTTGGGAAAATATTTGGTCGGGCTGGGCCCGACCAGCCAGACGCTTGCTACGCCACTGGAAATAAGTCCAAGTCCACCGGCCTACTTACCACTCATAAAAACTAGCCTTATTAATAAAGTGAGAATGGAAATCACTGATCAGTGAGTAAATAAAATTGATTTAAATGGTGATCAAGTAACTTACACTTTAAACATCCGTCCAAAAATGTGATTATACACGCTCATAAGCGGATTCCGATTCAGAAGCTGTTGCCATAATGGCTTATTTTCCATATATATAATATACTAAACAAAATGATAGTTCCTATGATTAGACGTGGTATAGTTCGTCGAAAAACTGTTGGGGTCATTGATTGGAAACCTCGTGGGCCTTGCTGGTAAGGCAAAGGGTGCGCTATTCAGTGCGGGGAAGTCCGCAGCTGCAGCCTTAGGATCTCGCGTATGCAAGTTTGCTCCAAAAATCAAGAATGTGGCCGTGGCGGCTGGTAAAAAAGCAATTCGTGACACGGCTATAGCAGCCAAAGAGGCCGTTATATCGACTGCAAAAGAGCAGTTCTCGCCTGAAAACGTAAGCAGTCTTGTTGCCGATCTCGCCCGCGGAGACGTTAATGGAGTGGCAAGAAAAGGTAAATCACGTGCATCTGCAGTGGCTCGTGCTGGGGCTGAGGCTGGTATTAGTAATGCAAAAACGCACGCAAAAAGTGCTCGCACTGCTTTAAAGAAAGAAGCTGGAGCTAAACTTAATGAGCTGGTTGGGACTTCTGAAGCTAGAAAAGCTCTAGTATCGCGCGCTGAAAACCTTGCTAAGCAACAGCTGACTTCTCGAGACTTAGCTATTCTAAGCAACCTCGTGTCAGGTAACGGCATGATGTATGCCTAAATATCACATCGGACTAATCATCACATTAGTAATAATAATAACTAAACAACATCGGTCTGATGATCGGCAGACGCAAATTTTTTAAAATATATATATATACTGCACGAAGTACAAACTATCATAACAATGGCTACGGACATGATATTCCCAGCGCTTCGACTCTTTGACGAGCCCATCGTTGACCACTCTGTTGAGCGTCTGCAGTACGAAAGAGTTCTTCCCTTCGATCCACATTTCGATTATAAGAATATCAATATCGACACTGAGAACGTTGACCAGCTTATATGGCTTCACAGAGCCGTTCTTGAAGTTCGAGGTCGCGTGGTAAAGAACGATGGCACCAATTATGTTGCCGCCGACAATGTCGCTCTGGCAAATGGTGGCTGGTGCCTGTTTGAGACGGTCTAGATCCAGGTTAACAACAAGACCGTTGAAGAAATAAGTCAGTATGCTTCAACTGTCAACACGATCATGCAGCTTGTAACTGATTCGGATGATTCGTCCAGGAGCACCGCCATAAGTGCTTTGTGGTACCGCGACACTGGAGCTACCGGTGGGGTTGTTTCTAATAAACATGTAAACAGAACTAACCCTCAATTGCTTCTTGCTGCTAATGTAGGTAACGGTGTCGCTTTGAATGGCGGCAACTTCCGGGATAACTTTAGCTTAAAACTCAATGCAATAGAGAACCCTAACTTCAACAATGGTTTCGCCAGTAGCCGCCAGCTCTGCGCGCGCGCCAAAGACGTTACCATCATGCTTCCCCTCGCTGACATCCTAGCCTTCGCCAAAGACATTGATTCAGCTTTCATAGGTATAAAGTTCAATCTAAATCTCACTCGCGCTTCTTCTGAAAACTCGCTTCATAGAGCAAATGGGGTGGATGCTGGAAAACTTCAGATAAAACATCTTTCGCTCTGGGTTCCTTTCATCAGACCTTCGATCGAAGTTCAACCATGATAGAAAGCAAGTTGGCTGCTGGTTACACACGCATGTTATACTTTGAGCAAGGCGTATTTACCGAGAGAGATTCACCAGAGGTCAAACCAATGTCTCGTGGCGTGTGACGACAAACGGAAGTGAAGAGCTACCAACACACATCTTCGTATCGTTCCAAGATGCAGAACGCATAGACAATCAAGAACAAACTATAAATGTGTTTGATAATGCTAATTTGCGTTCGATTCATGTGCGGATTAATAACAATCATAAGTATCCTGAAGAAGAGCTTGAAGTCAATTACACAGATGCTGAAGAAATTACAGCAGGGCTTACATGATGTTCCAAGACGCTGCAATGAAATTCAGCGACCCGGATACACGCTCTCAAGTAAACTTAGGAGACTTCGCAACCCTTTTTCTATTTTACCACTTCGACGTTAGGCATCATCCTGAAGCTTTGAAAAAAGCTCCGGCAAACATTGATGTTCGTTGGATCTTAGGTGGCCCTTTTAATAGTGCTATTAATGCTGGTGGTGAACGGGCGTACCACGTGTACTGCTTCGTGCTTAGCGAGCGTTTCCTTCGGCGCAATGCGATTAACCGTAAAATGGACATAATGGTTTAGTCTGTTAGTCTCATGTGATGATTAGCCTGATGTGATGATTAATCTGATGTGATATGTTGATATTTAAGATTAAAAAATTTTTTCCATAGTATATATACGCAAATTGTTTTACATGTGCACAAAATGTCGGACATTGATAACGCAATATTTGTTAAAGCTCTCAGACCCGCCATGGAGCGAGTAATCACTCAGGAATTTAAAGGCGCTGGTATTTATCTTCCTGGGTCAAGAAGTATAGAAGGTGGTAGCTTTATTGGAAATCTTGTTGGAAAACTCATACCTAAGGTCACTAAACTCATACCAAAAGTGTTACCGTCTCTAGGCCTAGCAGCTATACCAGGTGCTATCACCGGCAGCACGCAAAAAACAGTAGCTGGTAGTGGTATAGTTAGAAGAAGAAGAGGTATCACACCATTCAATGGACCTGAGTATAATAACAGTCTTCTTGGTTTCGGTAGTAGCTCTGGTAAGAAAGGTCGTTCTGGATACCTAGTTCATGGTGTTAAACTTCAAAAGATAAGAAAACTACCTTGGCAAAAGCAGTTAGGGACAAAAGTAGAGTAACTTTGCGAATTACCAACAGAGCTCTTGAAGGTCCTGATATGCTTATGCTTACTAATACACAGATCAAGCGAATAATGGGTGCAAGACCCAAAGGATCTGGAATCGATCTAAAATTGTCTAAGAGTCAGATTACAGCCATGATGCGCGTGCAAAAAGGTTGATTCCTCAATTCTTTGCTTGCAGGTATAGCTGCTCCCATCGTAGCGGCTGTCTTAGGAAAAATCCTTAGATTTGGAACGTCGGGAGAAGGAGTATATCTCCCCGGGACGTGGTGACGCGGGTGAGGAAGTGGAAGCCGCTATCAAACAGAGATATCAATCGTATAGTAAATGGTAATCTAAAAGCAGTAGCTAAAGGTTTTAGGTGGGCGTTCTCAAAAGACATGCTTCCTAAAGAGCCTATTAAAGCTGAAGGAAGTGTTATAATCAACTTACAAGACTTACTCGATGGAGGTGGGACTCAATGGCTTTGCGCCTTTGCTGATGAGTTCTGTGTAGATCACTTTGACAGCTTCGGACTTCAACCACCTGACGTAGTTAAAAA